TGCAGTGTCTGTTCCCCAGCACGTAGGCAGTTCCCAGTGTGGGGAGGTGTAGGAGACCGTTCCGCGTGATGTGGGCCCAGCTCCCACTGGGAGATGCACAGGACCCACGCCCATGGATAGGTTCTCCTGTGGGGAATCAGGCCTACAGTATACCTAGGCCACTATGAGTCTTGCTTTTTGCTAAAACTCCCTCACCCTGAATTGAGGACATTTACTGCAAAGTAACTTCCTAAAATCCATGCTAAACCTTCCAAGGATGAGTGTAACCGGTTCAACCACTTTTGCCTTTTCATTTGCAAATATCCCTCTTCTGTGATGTGATTAGCAGCATTGGCTCCTTTGTTTTCCATAAAAGGGAACCACCTAAAGTGAACCTGTGCATAGGAAACGAGGACCATCATGTAATGGGCAGAGAAACCCAATAAAGGCCTGTCATGGTGGAGGTCATGGCTTTTGCTCCCCTTGAGAGAAAAGCCATGCTGTCCCTTTTCCTCCACCAGATTTGGTAGTCCGTGTGAATGTCTCACTTCATCCATAATGACGCGGACACTGCGGGCCGGTGTCTGCATCAGGGAGGCAGCCAGGGGTGGCTAGGCCAATGCAGCCAGACTATAGCTCACTCTGAGGACCCTAGTTTAAGGAAGGAACCGATTTATTTTGCAGAAGCTGAAACATCACACTTCAGGACTGGGGCAGGGGGGTGCTGCGTCATGCTGAAGGCCAGCCACCACTGCTGTAGTATAATGTCATTGCCCAGCATGGCAGAGGAGACCAGCCTGTGACATTCACTGGGGCCCATCATAGACCAGGAGCCCTCTCCCCCAGACCCTGTGGCGTGACTCCATGTTTCCACTCTTCCCCTGGGCCAGGATGACCTCTGCACTTGAGGTTCGGTGCACGAGTCGAGTCCCTACCCAGGTTTGTCTCATCGCCTGAACATTTATCCTCTGGGCCGGGCCCTGTTCTAAGGACCGGGGGACAGGGCAGTGAAAACGACGACCCTCATAAAGTTTGTATTTCACAGGGAGAGACAAACAAATGAGTGAGCATGGTAGCGGAGAGCTCTGTGAGAAATAAAATGCAGCGTGAAGGGTAGAGAGTAGTGGGGGGTGGCTGGGGAGGCCCCTCTGGGCGGGAGTCGTTTGAGCAGAGACCTGAATTAGGAGGAGGGGCCCCAGGTGGAGATCTGGAAAATGAGCCTTCCAGGAAGTGGAAACATCAAGTACAAAGGCTCTGTAGAAGGAACATTCTAGAAGGGAAGGTCAGAAATTGGGCCACAGGCCTTCTGGGTCATGGCAGGGTTTGGACTTGGTTGTCATGGTGACAGATTGCAGGTCACATTACCTCCCAGGAAAGCAGAGAGCAAAGTGCCAGGAGGCCCGACTGGGGTTCCTGGGGTTGGGGACCCTGGAACCAAGGAGGGAGAGGGGCCCCGAGGAGAATCGGAGCAACAGTGGTCTGTCCCTCCAGACTGGTGGTTCTCAGACGTGGCTGTGTGTGCTCGGAGATGGGTCCCAGGTCCTGTGCCCAACCTACTGGGTCAGAATCTCCGGGAGGCGGCACTCGTTCAATCCGAGAAGTCCCATGGGTGACACCCCTTGTCCCCGCCGGTTTGGAGCCGGTTGAGAGATTTCACAGGAGTGAGGTGGATGGAGCTGCAGTGTCCGGGGGTGATGGGAGAATATGGCGGCAGTTTGGCTGGTTGAGTGGGTGACATGTCCCACCCGAGGGAACCTGGCTGCCCTGCGAAGCCCACAGCCTGCTGGACTGGGCAGCCAGGCGGGTGCCAGAGAGAAGAGAGAATGTCAGACCGGACCCAGCCAGATCGTCGCTCCCACCCAGAAGGGCAGCGGGGGAGGGAGAGGAGGCGAGTGGAGAGAGGGTGGGACGCCTGAGGCCAGGGAAGGGAGGCTCCCACGCGCCCTCCAGGGTCAGAAAAGGGAGCCCTTCCTTCTCAAATAATGCCGATGTCCCGTCGGATGTGGGAATTTGTATTTTAGGCAACGCACATCATCACATGGCCTATTCGAAAACTAGCTGGATACTGAGTCCTTGGGACTTGCCCTCTTTGTCAAAAAGGTCCCATTTGGAAGCCTGTCATCTTGCTGGAATCATAAAGAAGTTGACTGAAGATCTGAAGAGTTCGTTCATTCCTTCCTTCCTTGAGTAAATGCTGTTTGAGCTCTTGCCATGTGTTGGGCTCGGAGCTGCTGATGAGCGACTTTGACACAATAAGATGGAGCAGACAATGAGAGAGAGGCCTGGGCGAGGGACAGTGGGCCCCAAGCGAGGGGTGCTCTGGAGACGGGCGCTCAGAGAGGAGGTGATGGCCGAGCCACATCTTGGGGGGAAACAGAAGTTCAAGGTTTAAGTAGTGGACAGAACAATGCTCCCCCAAAGAGGTCCATGTCCTAATCCCTGGAGCCTGTGACTGTGTCACCTGTACGGCAACGGGACTTTACAGGTGTGAGGGAGGTGGGGATCGGGGCGATCTCCTGGATTATCCGGGTGGGCCCGACCTCATCACCCACCTTTAAGAGGGAGGCAGGAGGCTCTACGTGAGAGTAGGAGGAGATGGGAGGAGGGAGCCACACTTTGAGGATGGCAGGGGGAACTGGGAAAGATGAGAAAGCAGATTCTCCCCCAGGCCTTCCAGAAGGAGTCGGCCCTGCTCACACCTCGATTTCAGGATATTGGGCCTCCAGATCTGTAAAAGAATAAATGTGCATTTCTTAAGACACTAAGTCAACCCTGGCTGGCGTAGCTCAGTGGATTGAGCGCGGGCTGGGAACCAAAGTGTCCCAGGTTCAATTCCCAGCCAGGGTACATTCCTGGGTTGCAGGCCATAACCCCCAGCAACCGCACATTGATGTTTCTCTCTCTCTCTCTCTCTCTCTCTCCCCCCCGCCTTCCCTCTCTAAAAATAAATATAAAAATAAAATCTTTAAAAAAAAAAAAGACACTAAGTCTAGGAATTTGTTACAGCAGCCATGAGAAACACATATATCTTACTTTGCATGATGCACCATTGTAATGATTTACACTTATTATCAGGAAACATTCCATCAGGGGGTACAGTGACCTAAGACCCCTCAAGTGGGAAAGTGAAATGGATGCGGTAGAGTTGTTTTTAGATAGAGTCCACACGACTCGGAGACTTGGGGTGTAAAGGGTGAGGGAGGAGGGTGGTGGGTGTCCCTCGTCTCTGGCTCGGGTGCTGGGTGATGCAGTGCTCTAAGGCTGGGCACCCGAGAGGAGAGCCAGGAGGGTCCCTAATGCCACACAGGGCACATCATCTAGTGGACAGGCTGGGGCACAGCTGAGGCTGGCAATGGCATTGGTCACGGTAGAACAGGGGCACTCTGCCCAGGGCCCTGCCCCTCTGCTGCCTGAAGACAAACCCCCACACGGAGCTGGTTCGCCCGACCCCTTTCGGGGGCCCCGTCCTTGTGAACCGTTCTCGCAGGCTTCAGAGCTTGGACGGGACACCTTTGGTCAGATTCTGACACATGCATTTTTCCAATTATAAATTAACCCGAGGTGATTATGGGTAATTTTTCAAAGGCAAAAAAAAAAAATCCTCTCTTTAACATATTTCCTTCTCCTTTTGTTCTGTGCAGTGTTTTTTTTTTTTTTTCTTTCCTTACTTGGGCCCCTTGGACATATCACATGGATTTTTTGTCCGTTCTTTTTTAAAGATTTTATTTATTTATTTTATTTTTAGGGAGGAAAGGGGGAGAGAGAGAGAGAGAGAGAGAGAGAGAGAGAGAGAGACATCAATGTGCGGTTGCTGGGGGTTATGGCCTGCAACCCAGGAATGTACCCTGGCTGGGAATTGAACCTGGGACACTTTGGTTCCCAGCCCGCGCTCAATCCACTGAGCTACGCCAGCCAGTATTTTTTGTCCGTTCTTTTAATCTGTTTCATTGCACAAGCATTTTTCTCAGTGACTACACACTTTTAGGGCTCATTCTTGACAGCTTTATAGTTTTCCACTGGGCGGTGTGCTCACTGGTCTCGCCCCCGAGGGCGGAAGCCTCCCATCGTTTCCACCTCCGTGTTACAAATGCAACAGTGGGGCCTTTATTTACTAAACATTTGCTGCATTCAAGATTGTTTTCTTAAGATCAGAATTTGAGAAATAGAGTTCCTGGGCCAAAGGAGCTGTACATCCTTTTCCCGGGTTTGGGCGGGGGCGGGGGGAGCGAAATATTAACATGAACTTTAGCCTCTTGCCCACGTTTAAGCGCCCAGTTCAGCGGCATCAGGCACATGCAGGTTGCTGTGCAACCATCTCCAGAACCCCTCATCTCACAAAGCTGAAAGACCGCCCCGTTGAACACTCACTCCCCACTCCCCCCCATCCCATACCCCCTTGTAGCCACCATTCCACCTTCAGGCCCTGTGACCTGGGGGGTGCGCATTGTTCAGATATAAATATTGTCAAACTGCCCTCCCGGGAGTTTAGGTCATGCACACTCCCACCCGGGCACCCGTGGCCATTGTCTCCTTGAGAGCTTTGGGTTAAATTTTTTTTAAAAGCCTGACCTTTGCCCTGGCTGGCGTAGCTCAGTGGATTGAGTGTGGGCTGCAAACCAGGCATCGCAGGTTCGATTCCAAGTCAGGGCACATTCCTAGGTTGCAGGCCATGACCCCCAGCAACCATACATTCATATTTCTCTCTCTCTCTCTCTCTCCCTTCCCTCTCTAAAAAATAAATAGACAAAATCTTTAAAAAAAAAGACATTTATCTTAAAAAAAAAAAAAAACCTGATCTTTGCTAATTTGGTGGAAACAGCACTACCTTGCTGCTGGTTCCTGCTTTTAACGGTCTCCCAGGACTCCACCCAGCAAGCTGCGCTGGCATCTGAGTACCGGTTCTCGTGCGGCTGTGTGTTTCGGGCGCCTGTGGGGTTTGGGTTTTATCAGTTACTCTGCTGCTGACATCTCTGTTTTCAGAAGCCAAGCTGACCCTCTTCTCGTGTTGTTTCTCTCTCGAGGGCAATACGACGCGCGGGCCCGAGTCCTCATTTGCCACATGACCTCCGTCCTCCAAGTGCCCCTGGGGGAGCTGGAGCTCCTTGAAGAGACATTCCTTGAGAGCCTGAAGGAAACCAAGGAGGAGGAATCTGAGTAAGGGAGCCCCAAGACCCCGGCCCCACCTGCCGGGAATGGAGAACTTTTCAAATAACAGCCCCCTCTTTCCTTTCCTTCCATTCAGAGACGGTGCACGGGGCATCCCTAGGGCAGCCCGGGCGCACCGAGGGGCCTCAGCAAAGTCACTTCCCCCGCGGGCCCCGTTCCTCATCCCCAGGAAGAGGGGATTGAACAGATGATGGCTAAGGGCTGTGGCTAACATTCCGTGGCCCCGATCCCCTGCCTCCTACCAGGTTCTCGTCCGTGGGCCAGAGTGGCCTGGGTTTAAATCCCACCTCTGACATCCATCTGCTTTTTTTGACCTTGGGCAGGTGCCCCCACCTCCTCTGAGCCACAGGATTCTTACCTATATAACAGGAGTAACGATAGAGTCCCCCCAGGGTGGTTGTGAAAAATGAACGTGACCATATCATAAGGCGCTGGGCCCAGGGCTGGCACGAGCCAGTGGTTGGAAGGTATGAGTCCTTCCCTTCCCCCCGTGCCCCTGCACCCACCAGCTGAAGAGTGGCTTTGCTACCTACGTACGAGTGTGTGGAGAGAAATTACCCTGGCACCGTGGCCAGTGCTCAGCTCTTTGCTAAACACCTCGCACAGGCTCCCAGAGCAACCGATCGATCCAGGCACGGCCTAATCACCGGCTGCTCACACCAGGCACGTCCCCCAGCCTGGGGTCACATTGGGACACAATAACTGGCTCTGAACAGCCAGGTTGTGCCAGCCCAGCCCACCTGGGAATCTGGCTCCGAGGCCAAGTTCAGAACTGCAGCCGCTCCCCTGCCAGGGTTTGGAGAAGGGGGAGGCAGTTTCCCTGAGAAACGAGGGAACTCGGTCTGTTGAAATAACCTGAAAACAGACTGGTTTTGACTCCCAGAGCTGTGTCAATAAGGAAACACCTGGACCCAGGTCAGTTACCAGTGTCACAGGGCTGCCCAGATTCCGGGGCTGGATCGAGCACTGACAGTATCTCACGGGCCTTGCAATGCAGGAAACTCTGAGCTCTTGTTTGCAAAGCCTGTCGTCAGAAAGAAATATACCACCCAGAGGACTTGTTCAGATTGTACCAGCAGTCAGATCAGGGAATACCCTGGGCCAATAACATGGCCCAGCTCTGCCATGTTAGACCTTGGACAAGTTAGTTAGTGTCTCTGGGCCTCAGTTTCCTCACCTGCAAAATGGGTATAATAATAACGCCCTGCTCATAGGGTTCTTGGAGGTTTCAAGTGAGTCCATACGTGTGAAGCACTTCGAGCAGGCCTTGTGCAGCATCACTGGTTGGTGGACATCACTGTTTGCTCTAGTATCTGCTGTCGTTGCTGTTACTACCACGTGTGAGTCCTTTCCTCGGAAGAATACTCCACACGTGGCATTTGTCATTTCTGTGGTAGGGACTTTGGAGACCTCTCAGCTTCTGTCTCTGGTCTGCGGAAGGATCTGAGACCCCGGAGACAGACAGTGCGTGTCCAGCCTCGTTCTCAGCTGGATTATGCTACCAGGGCTCTGGGTGGCCCTGGATGCCTTGCTTTCCCTCTCTGGGCAGCAGCAGCACCAGTGTTTTCACCAGTGCACTGGACGCCTTGCTTTCCCTCTCTGGGCAGCAGCAGCACCAGTGTTTTCACCAGTGCACTGGACGCCTTGCTTTCCCTCTCTGGGCAGCAGCACCAGTGTTTGCACCAGTGTTTGCACCAGTGCACGCAGAGGATCGAGTTATGTGTAGGCTTCTTCTAACCCTAAGGTTTTGTGTTTCTGCAAGGTGAGCTTATCACTCGGCACCCCAAGGCGATCCTTTGCAGCCAGGGCTCAGGGTGTGATGAGCCTCCTTTCTGTTCTCGGGTCCCCAGAGGAGCCCCGAGTCACCCAGGCTTCCCCCGCCTGTTTGGTGACTTCACTCCTCTGTGCTTCAGTGTCTTCATCTCTGACCCCGGCTCACGGAGGTGACTCCCTCATGAGGCAGTTAAGAGGACTCCATGAATGAATGCACATCAAAAGCTTGGAACAGCGCCTGGGACACAGCGGGGTAAACGTGAGGGAGTGTGCTGCTGGACGCTGACTCTGGTCACGTCACAGTGACATCGTCAATATCTAACTTTTATTGAGTGTTGACCAGACGCAGGCCCAAGCCGTCACCTCATCTGGTGGTTGTAACAATCTCCTGAGGGGTTTGCAGGTCAAGGAACAGAAAGGTGACAAGACTCGTCTAAGGCCACACAGCCCGTGGAGGCACCGGCTGATTTTGCCACCACGTCCAGCTTGACGGGCATCCCTCCGGGCCCAGCTGAACATCCCAGGTCCCCTCCTTCACCTGAAGAAAGCAGTCAAGATAGTTCTTTTACTAGGGAAGCGTCTCTGAGCTTCCCCGTGATAAGCTCTCCCTCTCTATCTAGGGAGAAAGTGATTAAAACAGAGAAGAGGGTGGTGGTGAGGACCAAAGGGTAAGGAGCACCCTCTCGGGGGAGATAAGCTGGCAGGGAGTGTGTCTGGCCGGTGGGACAGTGAGCTGGGCAGCGGGCCCCTTGCTCCTCACCGGGCGTCTGGGGCTTCGGCCCGGGATCTGCATTTAGGCTTCCGCCTCCATCTTGCACAGGCTGACACAAGACGCCAGCTTGGGGTCCTTTCTGGCTTTCCGGAACCTCCGTGTGGCCATGATGGGTAACCACCAAGTGCCGTCAGTAGTGGGAACAGGGCTTCCTTTGAATCGCAAGTCATGCCCTGAATTCTCACTTCCAAATACAGGGCGTGTCCTCGATGTGAGTCAGGGCGCGTGTCTGCTCGTGGGCCTGAGATGCAGAAGTTCAGACGTTGACGTAATAGCAGGAATAAAAGTCCGTGATCATTAATGACGGCTGGGAAAGCTCTTGATTCTAGGCACAAAACAGTTCTTAAGAACGTTCAAGTAATGACACACACAAGGAAGCAGACGGGCAATTCGGGTGGGCGTTGCAAGACAGCGCCTTAGCTAAATAACTTAAGGGAAACTACGTCATCCTTTTTGACTCAGCAAATGTTTAGAAACGTTTCAGTGATAATACAAAGCAGAATACTAGAGATTAGAGTATACGGTCCATCTTTGTAAAATGGATTTGATATACGAGCATTCATGCCTTTAAATTAAACAGCCTCAAGAGTGATTGCAATATATTTACGTTTCAATGACTCTCTTCCCCAGAGGCTGTGGTTTCCCCAGCCACAGGCCCAGCTATCCGGGCCTACAGTCCAGCGCCCTGGCTGTGCTCAGTATTTCCAGAACCCGTCTGGCACCGCACACAGCTATGACAGCCAGGACTTCCTTCTCGTTGGTGACTGGCCTGCACTCTGTTCTGTGTCCCCCCGATCTTCCTAGATGTGAGCAGTGAGTGGGGGACAGATCTCTGCAGCAAGGGGTTCCCGGTCAGTCCTGGCCAGAAGGACTCAGGTCTGTTGAAGAAGCGCTGTCCGTGCGCCCCTCGGGTCCCATGCCCAGGGCCGGCAGCGGAGGGTGCAGAGCAGGAAAGGCTCGGCCTGCGCCCTGAAGGTTTGGCCCTGTGGTTCTCGGACTTGAGACACAGCAGGCCCCTGGACACACAGCTTGTGACAGGCAGCTTCCCCTGCCTCAGGCCCAGAGCTTCTGGCCCAGGAAGCTGTGCTTTGAATCCCTGGGGATTCTCATGGTCTGGAAGTGCAGGCTACTTCCCCCTGGAGGCTTAGAGGACCCAGAGTCAGGGCATTTAGGTAACCTTGGGGCTTGAGCAGCCTTCCTGGAGGAGGTGACTGACTGTCCGCCGATGTTCTCTGAGAAGTTCCTTGGCAACAGAGGGCCTGCGGGAACACAGTACTGAGGTGCAGAGGCAGTGGCCTGTGGGAGGCCCGTGTGCCTGGAGGGCACGTTAGGAGGAGATGGGCAACAAAACACCCCCAAACCAACTCACAGAAACAGACCAAGGGGATGGTTACCGTAGCGGAGTGGGGGACAGACGAAAAGGAGAAGGGGAATACAGTCCATAATATTGTGATAAGTTTGCACAGTGGGGTGGTCCCATGGTAAGCTATAAAAATGTCAAATCAAGCCCTGGCTGGCGTAGCTCAGTGGATTGAGCGCGGGCTGGGAACCAAAGTGTCCCAGGTTCGATTCCCAGCCAGGGTGCATTCATGGGTTGCAGGCCATGACCCCCAGCAACCACACATTGATGTTTCTCCCTCTCTCTCTCTCTCTCTCTCTCTCTCTCTCTCTCTCTCTCTCTCTCTCTCTCTCTCTCCCCCTCCCTCCCTTCCCTCTCTAAAAATAAATAAATAAAATCTTAAAAAACAAAATGTCAAATCAGCCCTGGCTGCTGTAGCTCAGTGGATTGAGTGTGGGCTGCAAACCAAAGTGTCGCTGGTTTGATTCCCAGTCAGGGCACATGCTGGGCTGTGGGCCAGGTCTCCAGTGGGGTGCATGAGAGGCAACCACACACTGATGTTTCTCTCCCTCTGTTTCTCCTTCCCTTCCCTTATCTCTAAAAATAAACAGATAAAATCTTTTTTAAAAATGTCAAATCACTGTATGATATACCTAAAATTAATATAACCAATGTGAGATTGCATACCAACTACACTTAAATGTGAAAATGATTATTATTTTTAAAGTGCTGAGCAGTGAGTCTGTGAAGGAGGCAAGCAAGCCGTGGAGGGCCTGGGGAGGAGACAGCATTCTCAGGGCAGGGAGAGGGCCCGGACGGGGGAGAGGGAGGCAGACAGTGGTGGCCGTACTTCCCACCTGACCTTGGTCACTGTGGTGGTGCTGTCACCATCCTTCCATTTGCAGCCCCCAAGTGAGAAAACGGGCTCGGAAAGAACTGGGTGAGCCAGCGGGGTCACGGCACAGCTGGGCTCCAACACCTCTGCCCCCAGAGGACCAGCCCTTCCCAGGCAGTGCGTGTTGAATGAGACGATGCTGACTCCCAGGGCCCCTGCTTGTCCCCTGGTGTGTTCCCATTGTGTGTTCCCACTTGCATTTTTGCTCCGACCCTGACCTCTGCCAAAAGCAACTTGTTTACAGCCTTCCTATCTTTGCCCTGATTAGCGCTAGCAGTTAAGGGCCAAAGTATATCTCCTGTGTTTAGGAGGAAACGACCGTTAATAATGAACGCAATGATAATAGCAACAAACATGTCAGACGATTACAACACGCCTGTGCTGTGTGTGGATTACTGCCTCCAGCTCCCACAATACCCCTGGGCATCAGTGCTATTATTACCCCCGCTTGTCGGACGAGGACGGGGCTCTCTCCGTCGGGACGGTCGTTTGCCGCATTAACAGATGACCTCCAGATCCCAGTGACTTACAGCCACACGGGTGCATCTCTTGTCTGTACGACACGTCCACTGCCGACCGGCTGTGGCTCTGGTCCACGCTGCCTTGGTTCTGGGTTCCGGGCTGACAGCGAGACCTCTCTCTCTGGAACATGGCTGTTCCCAGAGCAGAACAGAAGGAGACTTCTCAGCCTCCCCACTGACTCTTGAAGGTTTCATCGGCAGCCACACCTTCTTCCCGCCTGCGTTTCATTGTGGTCCAACGGGGAGGGGTGTGCACCCTTCCCGTGGGGAGGCCGGGGCAGGGAGGGCTGACGGGGACTCGGTGAGCGAGCGGTGGGTGACACACTAGCACCCTGCGGAGGAAGCATGCAAGCCCCTGCTGCCAGGGCTGGAGTCCTGACCTCAGAACCCAGGCGCTGCCTCGCCGTCCGCCTTCCACTCGGCTACATGCGTGCGGCTCCGACGCCTCACCCGGCACGCCCCACGCACCGCAGCTGGGGGATCGGGCGCCTGTGCCGTGTACGGAGACTGTCATCCCTGGTTTCTGCTTCTCTGTAGTGAGGCGTCCGAGCAGGGCCCTGCCGGTCCACCCAGCAGCTGCTCAGGGCGACAGTCAGCTGAGCTGAGCTAGCAGAACCCCAAAAAGCAGAGTAGATCCCGGAATGCCCAAGTCAGACCCCGGTCCTCTTTGATGACTGGGGGGCCGACTCTCTGTCCCACCCTCAGGGGTGGCTCTTGAGGGAAAGGGTGGGAAGGAGAAAGGTATTGGGTCAAACCGCCTTGTTCCGCTCACCGGCACGTGGCGCCTGGAGGGGCCCACGGGTCGTCCACTCTCAGACAAAGAGTGTGGATTGAATGGAGGAGGAAGGAATGAATTTAATCCTCACAAACCAGCTACCTTAAGAGGCAGATGTTATTATTCCGATCGTACGCAGGAGGACACGGGGGCTGGGGAGAGGCGGGAGCCACCGTTCGTCGGCACTCGCCCTGCGCCTCAGTGCCTCGGGTTTGGCGGGTGTTCTCCTCCCTGAGCCCCCAGCCCCCCCGGCCCCCCCCGGGGGTGGCACTACCAGCCCCTCCTCCGAACACGGGGACGAGAATAACGCTGCCTCTGGGAGAAGCTCCGCCACGTGAGGCACGAAGCGTGGCAGCTGGCACGCAGGGGCCCTTCAGTAAACATGAACCCCGCCCCTTTTATCGCCGGCATCTGCTATCGGTCCACGCACCCCGCTGTCCAAACTCCAGCTTCAGGTCAGAGTTCGAGCTCATAGTGACCTCCCCGACCTGCCCTCGGTCCTGCCCCGAGGTGTCCCAAAGCACCGAGGAGGACCGGGTGTCCCACCGGAAGACGGGGCTTAGCAACGCTCCTGTGCCCTCGCAGTGGTCGCGCTCAGGGCTCACCTGGCCCCGGGTCACTCTAAATGCTTCCCTTCTGCTGCATGTCTAGCTTTTGCATTTCCAGTCTGAAGGACTCTAGCTATCGCCCCAAGGCCAAGGTCTCCAGGGCAGGCATTTCTCTAGTGACCCACCGTTGAAATGATTATTGAGAAGGATATCGGTTTCCAAATACCCCAGAAGGAGACTGAGCCCAGGTGCTGAGGGGAAGGCAAGGAAGGAGGGAGGCGATGGAGTCTGTGGTTCTATCTGGACCTCCTCTGGGTCCACCTGTTGAAAGATAATTGTTGTGCTTCTTTGACTGTTATCGTCATTTTCTTGTCTTTTCATTATTCAAATTGCAACCCTGTTAGGATGGATCCTTTGGGTAAGTAGCGCGTCCCACGCACTGGGATTCCCCAGGTTCGTAAAAGCACCGATGGGCCCAGGGTGACTTGGGACCTTGCTCGGAATGACAGAGCACCCAGCACTGCTCCCCGTTAGGGGCTGGTGAGACAGGGAGGCCTCAGGGGGGCCCAGGCACAGCTCACCCTAAAGACCAGCCTCTCCTCCCCCAGAACGGCCGAGGCGTCCAGGAAGAAGAAGGAAAACCGGAGGAAATGGAAGCGCTATCTCCTGATAGGCCTGGCGACCGTCGGAGGCGGGACAGTGATCGGTAAGGTTGGCTCAGGGCGAGGGGGTGGCACGTGGGTCAGCGCAGTGCAGAGCGAGGGGTGGTGTCCGAGTGGACGTGGAGAGGGCGGGAGACAGGCTGGGAGGCGCCCCCAGGCACACAGTAGGTGCTCCTTCAGCAGTGTGTCCATTCGCGTTGTTAGAAGCCTCCGTGGAGGACGGCGGGCAGCTGATCGGGGCAGAGCCCAGCAGGCCACGCCCTCACTCCCGCCTTTACCACGCTTTCCTTGCAGGTGTGACCGGGGGTCTAGCTGCCCCTCTTGTTGCCGCCGGGGCCGCGACGATCATCGGCAGCGCCGGGGCAGCGGCTCTGGGCTCAGTAGCCGGCATAGCTGTCATGACCTCGCTGTTCGGTGCCGCCGGAGCCGGCCTGACCGGTAAGTCCCAGAGCAGCGGTGGGCTGGACGGGGGTTTTCAGCCAGGGTGGCCCAGCCCTGAAGGACACGCCCATATTCTTCCCCGGGATGGTGCTGGCTCCCCGGGAGACTACGGAGGAGGAGCACATGGCTGTTCTCATGCCGGTTCCAGCCCTACCAGACCTTGGCGGCTGCTTCACCGAGGACTGGGCAGGCGCTGGGCGTGGGCCGGTGTGAGGGCCGAGTCTGGGAAACCGCGCCTCCTGCAGACTTCCCGAGAAGGGGCTCGTCGGAGCTGCGTGCCCCCACGTAGGAAGTTTCCAGACAGGCCTCCTCGGAGACCTTTGAGCTTCCTCACGGGAGAGAGCACGTGGCTGTCCGTCATGTGCCAGCATGTCCTGGGGGAGTTTTCCCAAATCGTGTGTCAGCAGCCCCCAAGTCCCACGGAGATTGCTGTTCCACTCTTCAAGGGGGAGGGCACGTCCTGCGTTGAGGATCTTGGACAGTCTGATCCCCTTTCACTGAGAGGAGCGCAGTGGGCCGGCCTCTGGAGTGTGTGGGCGGGAAAAATGACCTGGAGCCGGCGGAGTCAGGCCAGAGCGGCGGTCACACGCCTGGGTCCTCTCTTCCACCCCGGCTCTGCCCTCGGTGCCGGCCAGCCTGCGGAAGCCTCTTACTCTCATCCCTAACTGGGGACAATAATGGCACCTTCCTTAGTGAGTTGGAAAAGGAGACCTTTGTCCTAGGACAGGGCACACAGTCGGCCCTCGCTGTGCGTGACGCGAGCCCAGGGAGCCCCTCTGACAATGCTCCCGGGGTCCGCGGTCACCCCCACTCCCGTTTGTGTGTCTGGGGCCTTAGGATACAAGATGAAGAAGCGTGTCGGGGCCATCGAGGAGTTCACGTTCCTGCCGCTGACGGAGGGCAGGCAGCTGCGCATCACCATCGCCATCACGGGGTGGCTGGCGTCCGGCAGATACCGTGAGGACCGGGGCGGGGGGGGACAAGGATGTCGAGGGGGGTGGACGTCGGCCGAGCTGGGCTGGCTGCTGTGGGCCAGACCCCGGCCTAGGCTCTTGCCTGGGTGTGTTCTTAGAGGGTAGGGAGGGGAGCCCCACTTTGCAGAGGAGGAAGCTGGCTCAGAGCAGTGAGGAGACTGCATCCCACATGCATCCACTCACCCTTCCACCTGTCTTCCCTCCATCCACAGTCCACTCATCCAGCTGTCTGTCCGCTCACCCGCCCACCCATCTGTCCGCACATCCATCCATCCATCACCCATCTGTCCAGCTGTCTGTGCACCCTCCTACCCACCCGTCCATCGACCCATCCATCCGTTCACCCACCCTCCCACCTCTCCATCCGTCTGTCCAGCAGTGTGTGTTGAGCCGAATTACACACGCTGTGTGCCAGACCCCGAGCCAGCCCCCGGGCATTTAGTGGCGAGTGACACAGTTGCGGCTTCCGCCCCCGTGGAACACCTGGTCTGAGGCAGAAGACAGACAGCTAAGCAAGCGACTGTCGGGGGAGCTTTGTGGGCGGCACAGTGGGGGAAGCACAGAGCATCTCTGCGGAACTCGGGAAAGGTTCCTGGAGGAAGTGACCTTCAGGCTAAGGACCGACTGGGAATCAGCTGGGTAAAGAAGGAGCTAGAAGTGCACCCGAGCCTAGGGGCAGCAGGTCCAAAGGCCCGGTGGTGCAAGAGAACAGGAAGGAGCACGGGGAGCTGGAGCAGGGAGCCAGGAGACAGGCGTGGGGGCAGGGCCAGAGTGGATCACACAGGAGCAGGTGAGGCGAGGAGTTTGAATTGTCCTGAGAGCAGGTGGAGGATAGCAAAGGACTTAAGCACATAGGTGAGAGATCAGTATGCCTCGGCTGTGTGACCTCAAGCAAATTACTGAACCTCTCTGTGCCTCAGCTGTTCACTTAGAAAGTGAACAGCTTACTTGCTCCTGCCTTTCAAGGTACTTACAAAGATTAAGTTAAACAAGATAATGTATCGAGGGCCCCTGGTTTCTAACTGGCATTCCACCAACATAGTTCCTTTGCTGCTCTAACCTGGACACGTGTGTCCCCTCCACCTGGTGGCGCTGGGGACTGACGGCATGGCCCGCTCCCTGCCTGGCTCACATGTGCCCAGTGCAAGGCCCAGCACAGAGCTGTCACTCAGAGGGAGGTGACGGTGGGCCAGGGAATCCTGGGCACACAGCCAGGCGCACACGCTCAGAGCCCCCCGGTTCCCAGATCTCAGGAACCCGAGGGCGGATCTTCTAAATGACCCAAAAGAAAGCCAGTGAGAAAGCCAGGTCACAGAGGGCCTGCATGTCGACTGGAGAGGTGACACTATCCTCAGGGCAGGGTGAGGGCCAGGACGGGGGAGAGGGAGGCAGACAGTGGTGGCTGTCCTTCCAGCCTGACCTTGGTCACTGTGGTGGTGCTGTCTCCATCCTTCCATTTGCAGCCCCCAAGTGAGAAAACGGGCTCGGAAAGAACTGGGTGAGCCAGCGGGGTCACGGCACAGCTGGGCTCCAACACCTCTGCCCCAAAAGACCAGCCTCTCCCAGGCAGTGCGTGTTGAATGAGACGATGCTGACTCCCAGGGCCCCAGCTTGTCCCCTGGTGTGTTCCCATCGTGTGTCCTCGACAACTTGATGCCAGCACTAGTGCAGGACGTCAGAAGAATGCCACTTTCCTATCTAGTAGTCCATACTTAGTTCTTACAACTACTCCGTGAAGGGAGATAAGTGCTGATCTCCCCACTGCACAGACCAGCAAAGTGAGGCTCAGGGTGGTAGAGTGATGTGCCAAGGTCTCCCGTCTATTAATGAGTGCAGGAGTTGGGACTTGAACCCCAGCCCGCTGACTTACAGGGTGGAGCCACGCTCCATCTGGGTGCTCCATCCGCTCCGCCAACAGCTGCCACTCATCGGCAAGGGTGGGCTTCTTGTCTTCCCCCAAGGGGGGAGTGGTCCCCAGTCTGGGAAAGTGGGGTGGGGCACCCTCTGGCACAGACAGGAGAGGCCCCACCTACCTGTGTCCTCCCAGGGACCTTCAGCGCCCCGTGGGCCACGCTGGCGCACAGCCGCGAGCAGTACTGCCTGGCCTGGGAGGCCAAGTACCTGATGGAGCTCGGCAATGCCCTGGAGACCATCCTCAGTGGCCTCGCAAACATGGTGGCCCAGGAGGCCCTGAAGTACACCATGTTGTCTGGTAAGTCTCCCTGTCCCCACCGCCAGCAACATGCCCACTACTCCCAACCCACCCTGGTACCACACCTTTGCGTCCCGGGGGCTCCCGCTGAGCCAGGCACTGTGCTGGACCCTCGGAACACAGAGAGGTTAAGGCTGCATCCCTGTCTGAGAAGCGTAGCATAGCGCCTCCCTTTGTGGGAGGAGACAGGTGGACAGCCAGTCACGTTATCACACCAAGTATCAGCCACCCCAACACTCAGCGACTTAAAACAACACTCATTTATCCTAATAGCTCAGGAGCCATGAGGTTTCACCGGGCTGATCTCCGCCGGGCTTGCTCGTGCGTCTGTGGGTCAGCTGGCTGTCCACTGATCTAGGCTGGCCCCATGTGGGACAGCCAGGGTGACGTGGCTCCAGTCCACCTGCCTCTCACCCTCCTGGGGTCAGCAGGCCAGCCCACACCGGTGGTGGAGTACGTGAGAGGCCAGCCTCCATGCACCAGTCCGTCTGAGGTCTCACATCTCGTAACATCTCATTGGCCAAAGCGAGTCACGTGGCCGAGCCCACGGTGGGTGGGCAGGCACCCTGCAGAGGGATGAGGCCAAGTGGGAGGGTGCCGGGTGGAGTGACTCCTTGGGGCCACCTTTGGAAGCTCACACATGTCAGACGCCCGAACAGCAGGGATCTGGTCTGTGGGTCCAACACGCGTGAGCTTCCACTTTCTGCTGTGGCCCTGAGCGGTGTGACGGCCCTTGGAGAACCCACAGGTCCCAAGTGAGAGACACTGTGTGTACTCGCTCGGGCAGCCCTTAGCCAGCCCGCCACTTCCCGACAGGGGCCCCCGCTGCCTACATCACTGCCCTGTCACCCTCCCAGGCATCGTGGCTGCTCTGACCTGGCCGGCCTCACTCCTCAGTGTCGCCAGCGTCATCGACAACCCCTGGGGGGTGTGTCTCCACCGGTCAGCGGAGGTTGGCAAGCACCTGGCCCACATCCTGCTCTCCCGGCAGCAGGTACCTGGGAATGGCTGCGGGCGGGGGCCCAGCGGGGAGGTGAGGGGGCCGACTCGTGCGTGGACGTCGGCCCTAAAGACATCTGTGCGGAGAGGCCCAGTGGCTTTGGGGAGTGGGTGGCCTTCGCTGCTCTTCCAGTTTGAGTCATGGAAGTATCTCGGGATAGACCAGTAAGGGTTGTAGACTGTGTGTCCCTAGCAGGTGACGAGGTGGGGACTGAATAACGGGGGCACCTGCAGGGGTAGACGAGGCCAGGTGTTTCTTCCTGGAAGCACAGAGCGAGCCTCTGAGCACGTTGTCAGTGTTCCAAAGGCCACGGAACGTGGCCTGGGTTACATCTGCGTTCCGGACAGTCGGAGGCAGGAAAGTGGGGTGCAGGGCACGCCTGGAAGTCCCATCTGTGCTTTCCTTGGCATCCCTGGCCAGGACTCAGCCCTGGGGCGCCATCCCTAGCTACCAGGGAGTTGGAGAAACTCAGTCTTTGGCTGGGTGGCCCGAGAAAAGGCAGGAGTTCTGTCACCAAGCCCATGGTGGGGGTGGGGGGGTGCGTGGGTGTCGAGAGATGGAGAGCAGCCTTCATCACCGGTCTCCTGCGGAACTGGAGTGCACTTCAGTGGTTTTCTGTGGTGGTGAAGGGGGTGACGGGGGGGTGGATACATTGACTGGCACAAAAACAAGGAGAAGGGGTAGACGGGAGACCAGATGGCCTGTGGGCTCATCTTCGCCTTCCCGCTCCCTCCAAGCAGAACTGGCACCCAGACACCCCAGATAATGTCCTTTTCCTTATGAGTTGCCTTTTCTACAAATTCTTTAACATTGTAGGAAGTTCTTTCTTAAGTCTAACTCACTACCTACTCTTGTAATGCAAGGCCGATATTTCGGGTCCCACCTGCCTTTCCAGAAACAGAACAGCTCTCCCTCCCCTGTCACTCTTTGCCTTCTTTTCCCGTTGCACCGGGGCACCTTCCACCTCCCCTCCCTGGCTCCAGAAGGGCCCCACTTCGGCAGTCACTGCAGTCTTTTGCCACGAGGTGGGAGAGTCCTGTCTCTGGGGGCAGAAGAGGCCGGCGGCTGGGTTACCGTGTGAGAGGAAAGGGAATGAACCCAGCTGCCTCTGGGCCCCAGGGCAGCCGTCTCTGGAGTCAGGTGTGCCCTGCGTGAACGAGGGCTGGGAGCGGCACACGCCCCATTCATGAAGGTCAAGGCAGGCACTGGGGAGTGTGCAGGGGCCGCCTCGTCAGGGCTGATGTTTTGCTAGAAGCGACTGTGTCCCGTCCCAGACATCTGTGTCCTTTTTCCCTCAGGGCCGGCGACCTGTCACCTTGATTGGCTTTAGCCTGGGAGCCAGAGTCATCTACTTCTGCCTGCAAGAGATGGCTCAGGAGAAAGGTGAGTCTGGCTTATTGTCATAGGGGAAAACCCTTCCCAAGTTCACCCCCTAGTCCAGAGGTTCAGGAGAGGAGTCGTGAGTCTTGTCAAGGTGTTGTTTCGGGAAGTAATAGCTCACTGCTTAAAACAGTTTGAAGATAGACAAAACCAGTACGTCTCTTGGAAAATTGTGTATGTTTTCTGCATCCAAATTAGAGTGGATGCAAAACAGTCCTATAATAATGACATTGGCCTTGGCGTGCCGATGCATGTTGTTGAACGGGAAGGCAAGGAGCGGGATGAAAGGTTCCAAATCGAGGTGTCGGCAGAGGCATGCGCGCTCTGCAGGCTCTCGGGGCGGCTTGGCCGTGTCTCCTCCCGCCGCTGGGGTCTGCCGGCCCTCCTTGGCTCTCCTAGCCCCACAGACGCATCACTCCACCCTCTGCCTCCGCCTTCGTGCTGCCTTCCCCTTTGTGTCCTCTCTTCTGAAGACAGGGCCATTGCGTTTATTTTGGGCCCACCGAATCCAGCATGATCTCATCTCAGGATCCTTAACCAATTACATTTGCATAACTTAATGATAGCTGCTAAGACACCTTTTCCATAAAAGGTCTTGCTCACAGGTTGCAGGTGGACGTGTCTTTTGGGGGCGGGGCACCATGCAACCCCCCGCAGGTACCTCTGGGCGTGTGGTGTCGTGCCCAGGCAACGGAAAGCCTCGGGTGGGGTGGGTCTCCAGGGCAGAACGCCGGCTGGGGGCAGGTCTGTCAGCAGAGGCTGCCGTGGGAGGGGGTTGGGGACTGAGGTGCAGAGCTTGGACCTAGTGGTCCCCTGTTTGCGTGACCCAGACTAGCCTCTCTCTTGATAAAGCGCAGCAGCAGCCGGGCCTAATGGCAAGAGAAGGCATTGAGACAGGCACCCTTGTCCTGAGAGCAGAGGGCGGACGAGAGAGAGAGGCTGGAGTTATGCCCAGCACTGTTACTCAGGGTGATTTCAGATGCATCTCAGAACCTCAGCTTCCCTGCTTATAAAATAGAGTTAATAATTCCCACCCCATGCACTTCTTTTGAGGAGCAAGCGAGGAAGCCCACGTATAATAATTTTGCAAATCATAAAGCCCATCAATGACCACATTTAGCTCAAGGATGTCTGTTGGCAGCTTCTGCTCTTCAGACTGTCCGCCTTCCTAAGGCTACCCCTGAAGATGTCCCCTGGCCACTCCCCCTGGTCGGCCCCAGTGTGAGACTGGATTGCTGACCAGCTGCTAACAAGCAGGAGGGGCGGGAATGTCTGCCCTCGGCTGGACCTGAGAAACAGGGCGATGAGTCGGGGCTGGCTGGCATTATTTTCAGTGTTGGTGTCACCAGCGGGCATTGGAGACACCCTGGAGCTCAGGAGCATGATTCATTCCTGTTCTTTATCTTTTGCTTAAGTGGACTGAGGATCAGAGCTCTTTTCTTGGTTGCAAAGGCAAGGTGGACGTGCCATCCTTAGCAGTCACTTGGGGGGCGGGGGCAGGGGGGACAAGCTCCTGTGTGTGAGCCCTGCAGTGAGCCTCCCAGTCCTCTGTGCCATTGTGGGGGACCCTGAAGCCCCCTGTGGCTTCCAGCCACCTCCTTTGCACCTGGTTTTGTCCACATCAGTAAGCAATGGGAGGCACCTCTATCCTGTTTCCAGTAGCGCTGGGTAACCTGGGACCACCATGCAGAAGGGCCTGGGGAGCCAGCTCTGAGCTGGTTTTCAGCAGGAATTCCAGCCTGGGATCAGAGGTCAGGCAGCGACCACTGGGGAGACAGGGCTGAATCCGGAGCTCTGGTACAGGTGAGCTTCCGTTTCTACCCTGGGCAGCTTTGCGCCTTCCCTTTCTAAATACGTGCTCCCTCCTCCCCAGCATCAGCAGAGACAGAGCAAGTCAAAAAGCCATCCCTTACTTGCCTCTCCTGCTCCACCTGCTACAGACAATCCACCTGGGACCTTAGGGCCCACTGGGAGGAACCCCTGGGGACCCACACCATGTCTCCACCCTCAGCCCTTCATTCCCTCCGGTAAATGGCTTTATTGAGCTGCAGCAACACCACTGAGTCCTACTGCACAACGCCATGTTCTCTGTTCCTGCACCTTTGTGCAAATAACTACACTGTCCGAATCTCTGCTGGGAAAAATAGGGGCACTGTCTCTCTCATGGAACCCAGCCTCTGCTATAAAAATGTGTGGGCTATAGAGAGGCGGGATGAGTGTATCAGTCAGCTCTTGCTGCAGTGATGCCGCATAACAAACCACCCCCAAACTCAGAGGGGTATAACACCAAATAGTTGCATGCCCAGCATCTACAGCTTGTCTGTGGCTCGGTTACTCTGGAATAGCCTCTGTTTCTGGCTCTGAGTTGGATAGGCTTGGCCCCAGACTGCGGGCTGGGCCCAGATCTGCTCCACATGTCTTTGTCCTGGTGAGGCTGAAGAGGCAGCAGCCACCGGGGCTTGCTCTTCTTCTCGTCCATCACTCGAGGGCCAGAGCCAAGCCAAACCACACATGTGCATTTAAGACCTCCGCTCCTGCAGTATTCACTAACGTTCTGCATCAGTTCCTTATTACTGCGAACAACCTATCCACACACAGTGGCTAAAAACATTCTGCCTCAGTTATTTATTACTGCAAGCAACTTATTCAAACATAGTGGCTTAAAGCACTAATAACGGATTACTTGTCACAATTCCATGAGTGGACTAGGCAGTGCCTCCCCTCGTCTCGCTCATGCAGTCACAGACAGAGCTGGAACACCTGGGAGGTCTAAGGCGACCTCACTCCCTGCCCAGCCACTGGTGCTGGCCATCACCCAGCATGCCTCAGTCCTTCCTCAGACCTCTGACACCCCCCAGGAGCCCCACCTGACCTCCTTCAAGATGGCAAAAGTGAAACCTGCACAGCCCCGTAAGGCCGAGATTCCACAACGCATCACTTCTGCCGCAGTCTCCTGGTTAAAACAAGCTGCAGGCCTGATCGGATTCAAGGGGACAAAGTGGGGACTAGACTCCTCTTCTGGGTGGGAGAAGGGGCAAAGAAATTTTGGCAGTTTTTAACCTTCCTCACGTTCTGCTTGCCAGAGCAAGTGATGATGGCCACGCCCTGGGTCGGTGGTGTGGGGCAGTGTGCTCTGCCCACAGCGGGCCGGAGGGGCATGAGCGGCTGCCAGGCAGTGGTCCAGACACTAAGACTAGCCCAGACGCTCTCGCTGGGAGAAAGGAAAGTGTGGGCTTCGCAGTCCTCTGAGCCCTGGTTCCGAGTCCTGCCCCTGCTCGGCTGGGCGGCCTGGGGGAGGCAAGGAGGCAGCCTCGCTGGGCGTGCATCTCTGCATTTGCAACAGGAGATTAACGCCACCTCCGGGCAGTGGCAAACGCCGGACAGCATGGAGCCAACCCCATGCCGGGCCCCGGTCACTGCATCCTCTGGCAGCATCCTTCAGGTTGAGGTCGCTGCAGGTCCAGGGGGTGGCTGCAGACTCCCCTTGCTCTCCAAAGCTGCCCGCCCCCAGGAGAGGCTCCTGAAAAACTGTCATTCTCTGTGCTGTCATCCTTTCGCCCCTTTCCTAGTCACCCTCCCCCCAACCCACGCAGCAGACCATCAGACCATCTGCCAGGCTCCTCATTACCGAGAGCGACGTGATCTTTTTAATAGGACCGGGTCTCAATTTAGAGGAGAAAGGCATGTCTTTGGCTGCAATTAGCATAAATTACATGTTAACTTCAGATCACCGATACAAGCCAAATCTTCAGCTCCCTTTCTGATCCAACTGAATTCATTACTGTTTTCTGTTTGGCTGTGGCAATCGGAAGTGAGTTCACCCATGAGCTGCCTCCAGAACGTGAGGCTGGAAACTGGACGGAGGGAGGGAGGGAAGGAGAGAGGGAGGGAGGCAGGCAGGTGGCCCCTGGGTGTTGGGGCTGGTCAGTGAGACACCGAGGTGCTTCTGCCCCCCAGCCTTTTGGGGGATGGCTCCCAAAGCAACTGCCTTCTTGCCTCTTTCCTAGCCCCTGCTCCCTCCCCTGGGTCTTCATGGCCCATTGGTAAGAACTGGGGCTTTGATATCAGGTGGACTTGGATTCGGGTCCTGACTTTGTCCCTGGCTGGCTGTGGGACCTTGAGCTGGCCACTTAATCTCTCGGAGCCTCAGCTTCGTCACCTGCACGTGGGGCTTAGGACACTTACCTTGAAGGCACGTCAGCAGGTTAAAATGAGCTGATGAATAAGGAAGGCACCTGCCCTGAATAGGGTGAATGTTCCTTCCTCTCACTCTGATCTGCGGACCTACTGTGCACGGAGAACTGTGGCGAGTGTCATGTAGAGAGAGGAGCTTATCGTTTTCGTTCCCTTTGCAGCCCCTGCGTTGGGCCGTGAGCTCCACGTGGGCGGGATCTGCCTGTGCCCCACCCTCTGCCTGGCGCCTGGCACGTGGGGGGCGCTCAGGAAGATGGAGGAACTTGACCTTGGGTGAGGGGTTCAAGCACGGGCTGCTGTGCTCCCGAGCCGGGTTCTAGTTCACCGTGTGCCAGGCCAGGGACTAAGCATGTCCATGCAGGGTCTCAGTCAACCGCACTGCAACCCTAGGGGTGTGTTCTCCCGGATTCACGGCTCCGACAACTGTGGCTTCGTGGGCACGACAGGCGAGTCCTAAGTGCCAGAGGCAGGACTCGTGCCCAGGGCAGCGCTCTACTTTGCAGAGGAGCTCGACCTTGAACGATGGGCTGGGGTCACCCAGTGGAGCCAGAGGGAAAGGACTGGCCGGAGGGCCGACTCAGCACGGCCCAGGCAGGCCTCTCCGGGGGGCCTGGGAACAGGAAGCCTCGAGTCTCTGTAGCCGGTGAACGGGGGCTGCGGCAGAACGGGGGTGGGGAATGGTTGGGCAGGAGCCTGGCACAGGGTCTCCCGCGCCTGGCAGAGGAGTCCAACCGCTGTGGTCCCTGAATCGAGGAGTGGATGAGTGGCTGGGCGGGCCCTGTGGGCGGAGGACCCGGGGCAAGGTCAGC